CTTGAATGCTTCTACATATATATCACTGTTTGATCATTTAAGAGAAGTCAAGGCTGTAAAACAACAAGGATAAGAAAAGTCAAGGCTATAAAACATGATTTATTTTCACTGTAGTAGTAAGGCTTCCATATAGGTAAAGTAACAAGTCAAAAAACAAATGCAGTTAGTTCAAGAAAAACCACTGCACTGCTTACATAAAACTAAAAACTAAATGTACACTATTAATAGATGAGATTAAGTATTAGTTATTTGACATACACTATTAATAGCCGAGATTGTTATTAGTTATTTGACAAATTCTTTTTTATCCAACTGCATTCCCCATCCTCACCATCTGAGAATCAGTTTCTATCTTTAAATTGGAATTACAATATAAGCATTCTCTGTGTAACAGTAGTCTACTTATGAAATAAATCATCCCAGTTAAATGTTTAGAAGCCAATGTTTGATTATTTTTCTGAGAAAAGATACACTGAAACCCAAATCTCCAGTTTCCTACAATGTAACTAAAATACAGATCAGCTGTTGTAATGAGACAAAAATGATGAGCCACTTCTTTTTTTCACATATACTCTTTCTAGCATTTTATATGTACAAAAGAGAACATTGGTTTAAAAAGTTAAGTTGTTTTATTTTGTCCATTGAGAAAAGGCTTTAATGTGGATAAGGCCTTTAACACTATGAAATGACAATGAGAAAATAGCATTAAGAAACAGTATCTTAATAAAAGATATTCTTCAATTCATGTAATTTGCTTTAAAAAAAACCCTTATCTTTCCCAGTTCAGAGAAAGAGACAATGAAAGGAGACAAGATCTAATTGAATCTCTTTCTGCTCCCTAAGTTTATAGGGCTGCAACCATATTGTTATATCTGTAGTTGAAAACTGATGGTTCAGTATCAACAGTTCTAGCAGTCTTATTCACTATTTATCCTGGGGTTTGTTGTAATCTTGGTAATACGGCCTTTGTAACCTGCAGTTCAACCTGGGTTTAGGGTGCCCTGGTATTCCTGACCACTGATTTAATATGATATAATGCTCTTCCCAGACTGGCAGGATTAACAGAAGAAAAAAATTACAGTTTAGATATATAGTCTTATTTGACTTTTAACTATATAATGTAGTTTTACCACACTGTCTAGAAAATAAACTTGTGTTGATCATAAAGCTTTCCAAAAAGCAAAAACACTCCCTTATAGCATAAAGGAACACATTCTCATATTTAATGATCACCCATAATCTGGCTAATTTCCTATTAGCAAATCAACTTCCTTCTTTGATGATCTGTGTCGGTCAAGCTTATACTGTACAAATAGCTTTTAAGTAATAGTTTATCAGTTTCATAGTTTTTGTCACTTGTGGCCTGTCCCAACTCTTGTATCTTTACTCTTGCCCCAGAAATGAGGGGCGGTGAAGAGCAGGTTGGAAACATGAAGGCAGAGTTTATGGTCACCACCCTGATTCTTACCATGTTGTTGGAAGATACTGGCATTCATTCTTAGAGATGCTACTCATCATGCATGAGGAACAACTGTTTTCCCCAAAAGCCAAAGATGCTGTCTATTGAGAAGTAGTAGTAGCAACTGAGTCCACGTTTCAGCAAAATTTTTTTGACAGAGAACATGGACGACAATGGCAGTGCTGTCTCCAACAGCTCTGCCATTTGGTTCTGGTCACTTCAGTTTTCTGGGATCCCAGCATAAAACTGTCCTAAAAGTACTATTTAATTTTTGTAAAGTTTTAGAATCTTATGTTTTATTATGCTCACCACATATTTTTTTATATCCTATCCTAAATGGCTACATATGAAAAATTTGTGACATTTTGTAACTTTATCACAACGAGTTCTTCAACCTCCTAAACACTCAGGAAGCATGGTGAAGTCTTTGAGGTTCTGGTTTAGTTTTGTGTTGTTTTCTGCAGTCCTAAGTGTCAAACCCAGACCCTTGTGAGTGTCAAGAAAGTATTCTAGTGTACAGCTCCCCCTCCAGCACAGGAAGCATGCTATAAAAATTCTTTTCCTGTATCTAGTGAAGATTCCACAGACTATCAAGCAAAGAAAGAATATTATGATATTAGAACATTAGGATAGTATAGTTTCTCCTAAGATTTTCAGGAAACTAAAATGTATGTGGGCATAATGGATGAAATCATTACAAAGATGGAAACAGATGATTTTAGCCTTGAATCAAAGAAAGACTGAATGACCCAGAAAAATGAGAAAAATATAATAAAATACCAAGGGGAACATCTATAGGAGATATTCTTCATTCTGAATTAATGTTAGTGAACCAGGCAGTGAAGAATGAAGATAAATAGGTGAAAAAGAGAACACAAAAATTTTACAGCTAGCTGAAAAGGCATTTTTCTAGTAAATCAAGGTTTGTATGCTAGTTGCAAAATTCACCACTGTGTATCATTAATTGCTCAATGTATAGTCCACTTCATGATTTTAACAAACTTTAACCATTTGGAACTTCTTTACTTTCATCACTAGACTGCCAGACCCCTAGTTTTAGCTTCCCTAGAAACAGAGACCATGTGAAGGGTGTATCTGAAAGTAGAGATAACTTTGTTTCATTTGAGAAAGGGAAGCTTAAAGACTGCTGAACTTGGAGATAATGGCATATATGAATCGTGTGTAATGTTGCATTAACTTGTACTTATCATTATGGAAACTACAGCCAAACACTCAGCAAGCACACTATAGGTCACATTAACTATATAAAAGGTGTCACTGTGCCCTCAGGAAAGTGCCCTAAAAGAGCAAGAGCACTGAGTTCAACACTCATTGACACTTGTAAAACATGAATTACATTCTACCAAACTACAGGTTCCTCTGCAGTTTAAAAATTAGAAGATTTGGCTAAATATTACTTTAAAAACTAATAAATCAGACATACAAGCTTAAATATCACATGCTTTCTCATATTTGTGAAACCTAAAGTATAAATAAAGAGCAAAATAAAAAGTAGGTAATAGAAAGTTGGGAGATAGAGCTTTCTCAAAGGGAAAGGAGATCAAGAGATAGGAGGAGAGATAAAGGGGATGAAAAAAGGAACGAAGATGTGTTGTGCACCTGCACCGACTCCCCGCAGGAATGGAAACACGGACTAATAAAAAAGGGGGGGTACGATCAAGAGATGGATGGAGGGGTTGGAAAAGGGAATCAGAAGAGTTAAGATCTGTTATGTACATGTACCTACTCCTCACAAGGAATGTGAACAGGTTGTACTGCAAACATGTACTAATAAAAAAACACTAATCCTTAACAAGTAAATATAGTTATTAAGATTAAAAACAAAATAGAAAGTATGTATAAGAAAAATTCATCAAGAGGTATTAACTTGAAATTTTGCTTTACCTCTGACCCCCATTTTACTGCATCCAGGAAAAAGCAAACAGCCTCACACCTCCTTTCTTCATCCTCAACAGGAATATCAGATTGGCACTCTCAATTTTGGCAAGCCAGCAGCATGAAGAGACAGGAAGATAAGTCACATCTGGCCAGATCTTCAACTTGTTTATGAGTATTCTTATAACTGCCTCTCCTTCTGTTTCTTCAGCTCCCTGAAATATGATTAATATCTATGCATTTGCGAAACTCTGCACTGTAAGCAAGGCTGAAGCTCTCCATCCCAATGAGGTTGAGGTATGGAGTTAATGAGAAGTGAGACTGTGGGGAATGAACAGGAACGTGCCAATGTTAAAGTAATTGAGCATGAATATCAAACACTGACTTGGGAACAGTCTTCATTTGCTGAAGGAAAGTCTGATCAGCTGGTGGGCAGATGGGATGTGCACAGATCTGCATTTGCTGCCAAAGCCAGAATCTGCACATCACAAAAGCCTACGCTTTATAACCTGGGCACCCGTTTCCCACTTAGGATAACGTTTTCCTTTCTTCAGTCTTTCTCTTTCTTATTTTCTTTCCTTTTCCTTCTTTATTTCCTCCTGAACTTTTTTTCTAAAAAGATTTTCCTTCTCCTCTTTTTGAATCTCTCATTTCTCCCACAGGCTTATAAATAATTTAAAGTTTTATGATTTCAATACCTGCTGTTGCTTTAAAAATGTGTGAATTGCCAGTGCCATTTAGAATAATACAGATGATGGTGTTGTGGCTGGAAGAATTACAAATGCTATAATTTTCCTTTAAAAACTCTGCTTTGTCTTCTAAAACTAGTGAAACCCTGAATTATTAATTACTTTAATTCACTCCTATGTGATTCTATAATCCCCAATTAGATCATTTTTATGTTTTTAGGAAGCAAGGATCTCTGGAAGATTTGCACAACAATAGTGACACAATGAATACCTTAATAAGCTGGAGGCTCTTATTAATCTTACCTTGTAATGAATAGTTTTATTCAGAACAGAGTAATGAGAGTTTCAAGAAAATTAACTGCTATAGAAAAAAAAAACTTTGGCTCTAAAATTCTAGGAACACACAATTATGCACTGCTAGAAAAATTTACTTAGAAAGATGCTTTTAGCACAGTTTACAAGGCCAAAAAATAAATAAATAAATGTACATTAATTAGGAATTGGTTAAGTACAATTATGCACACTCATTAAATTTATTATTTGTGAAAAATGTGTAATGTATAAATGTATAATATAGTCAAGAATAGAATATTATTAAAAGAATTTATGGGGCCAGGGATTTAGCTCAGTGGTTTCGCCGCCTGCTGCACAAGCGCAAGGACCGAAGTTTGATCCCCGGTACCAAAAAAAAAAAAAAAAAAAAGAATTTATGTAAACTACATATACTTAATGAATTGAATAATGTTTACCTGATGGTGATAGAATTTCTCCATGACTACATGCCAATATGTCATTATAAAATTTCCAATTTGCATGCATAATTTCTAAGACAAATAAAGTAAAAGTAACCAAACAAAGATTTTCTTGGTCCCCACCTAAGGACTGAGAAAATCAGGAATGACACAAGAAAAGCAATGATATGAGCAAAATCTTGAATGTAAGTGTTTACAGTTTACCTTAAGAGTGTAGTACTCTCTGACTTCAGGCCTAATAGAATCAAAGTCCCCATTGATGAATTCAGGCAAAAAGCTGAAAGAAACAGTTCCATGTAAGTCATATAGAATGGTCTATTTATTTTTTAAACTTTAAAATTGTGATTATAAGGATCAGAGAGAAAACTCAAGGCTCAAACCAGAAAGGAAATTAAATATTTTCAGACTGAACAGGGTATCACAACACATACTCCTGATTTCAATACAGTACGATTAAGGCAAACTTCAGATACCCATCCCACTCTTCAACTCAAACACTGTTAGTCAATATTTGTATTTCAAACAAGTAAATAATTAAATATTATTGTTTTTTAAAAAGACCTCAATGAAAAAATTTTAACACCAACATTCATCCTTTTTGCCTATCAGCATCTGCATATATACAAACTTTACATTATTTTACCCTCAAGTTTAGAATTTTTAAAATGGTCATGAGAATGCAGTATTCAATGCCAAGTGTGACTCATCAAATCAAATAAATATCCTAAATATCACACTGATATAGTTCTCAAATCACATCTTCTAGATTGCTTTGAGATACTCTGAGTCCCAGGTACTAAGGATAAAAGGGATTCTCAAATATGTGTGGTTCTCATGATATTACGATTACAATGACCTTATTTCTCTTCCCTGCTGTATATTTTTCACAACTCATTTTCGAGAAACTACTTTACTCCATAATCTGTAAATTATCAGTTATTATTTCTGCCCACTTAAAACATTTAAAATGTAAAGAAATAAAACATTCCTAGATTTCTCAGTATTCCTCCAAAAAACACTTTGGCTTTCTGAGCCTGACAAACGTGTGTAATATAAAGAAGAAATGTTCATTTTTGCTTTCAGCAAAACGTTCCCCTCATAAGGTAACATCCGAGTTAGATCAGTTGCCATTAATTGCTTTTATTCCAAAGAATAACAACACTTCTATCGTCTCTTTTTGAGAGAGCTAAGCTGTCATCTAAAGAAGTAGGTCCCTAGTTAAAGGGAGACTGGGGCCTTTTCGCTGTTAAGAGTGCATGTCACAGAGGCAAACTCAGAGACAACTCTGGGCCATAAAAGCCAAGACAGGAAGCTATTTGGCTCCTGTGAAATTCTAGTAACCCACAAAAGGGTTATAGTGAGGATTAAAGTCCAAAAAATTACCTAGTGAACCTTCCCAACAGGGAGGAATAAAGACAGCCACCATCAATTCAATAAACTGTAAAAAAACTCAAATTTCCTACTCTTTCACCCATGGGTGTGCAACTACCACCGGAGGGAAAATGATCTGGCTGACAGCACACCAGCCAAGGGGTAAAAACCAAGGCAAAGAACAGATGCAGGAAGAAATCAGAACAACATGTGTGTACATTTAGGATGAAGTTAAGATAGAGAAATATGAAAAAAACTAACCATAACCTGTTTTTACAACATCTTTTTATGGCTCTCACTTGGAAATATTTCTTTCATAAAACCTAATCTGACTGATCTCTGTTTGGCCAACTCTTCTTTAAGCTACACATCTTTCTGGGCCTACAGAGTAAGAGAAAGTTCTACCACAAACATGTGTTCTGCTTAAACTGCTTTGCTGGGGTGAGTTGGCCTCTAATTTTTCACTAACCTATTCATTCCCCAACTATTAAGTGAACAACAACTATGTGGAAAAGACTTTAATTTACTTTGAAGTAAGGCAGAATTGGGAAGGAAACAGAAGTACCAAGGTTTTTAAGATAACTTCTCAGATTTCAACATCTTACTATAAATTTTTTCCCAAGCATTCTATTATTTTTAACTTCATTTCATAGTTATTTATACCGTATATGAAGTGTGATCAACAAATACAGTGAATGTTTAAATTCTGAAAGACATTTCTTACAGTAAAAGACATATTGTCATTATATCCCCTCAAAATACTCTTCCTTGCTTTGAATATACTTATCCCGCTATTCTTGCCACTTTCTGAAGCAGATGTGAAGGTCCTCTTTCATGAGATTCTTCAGGTGCACTACTGTGGCTCTCTGGATGTCCTCAATCTAGTCAAAATGTCACCTTTCATTGGTATTTTGCCATTGGCGAAAACCCAGAAGTCATGCAATGTCAGATCCAGTGACTAAAGTATGTGAGGAAACACCTGTTTTTAGTTGATAGAATTTGCTATAAACATACACTGCTTTAGAAAGTGACAAGAAAAATAAGTGTGTCCAAAGAGAGGAGGAGTATTTTGAGGAACAATGGCAATGTATCTTTTACTATGATAACTATTTTTATTTAAAAGTTTATCACATTTTTGATTACACAGTTTTCTAGTATGAGGAATGAAAATTGAGGAATGAAAATTGTTTAATTTTTCCTGATTTTTGTCTTGTTAAATACACTCATTTTCAAAGGTTCTTTAAAATGCTTCCATACAATACCATTTAACCACACGTAAATACTTTTTCTGAATCACTTGAGTATTAGCTCTGGAAGGGATAAAAAGAATCATCCCTCCCACATTCTCATTACCCTTTGTAAAGGACTGAGATCAAAGATGTCAAGTGAATTTGTCTGTATGGCCAGCATCCAAACTAACCATGAAAAAGACCCATTTCATCTTAGGGCTCTTTTTTATGCAGCTTAGTTCAAGTAATTTTCTAGTAAGATTGCATTTGTATTTCTCCACAAATCTTAGCTCCTCAGTTATCTAGAAACGATTTGGCTGTTTCTGAATAGTATATTGATTTTGACAACAAATAAAAATGAGAAGGAAAATTGATACACTCATAGGTAGCTAAGCATCTGTCCCCTTAGGATAAATCTTATACCAAATTAAATCTGCTTTTTACTTACATTGTGAATAATGAAAGAAAGCAATCATCTAAATTCCCTTATGTTTCCATATAAAATTATATGGATAAATGATAACTTTGGTTAATTTTTAGTATAATTTTCTCCAATGTAACATACATTCAAATTAAACCATGACGCTTCTAAGAACCATGACAAACATATACCTGGTATGCATGCTGCGATGACTAAAATAATAATAACTTTTCTTCATACAATGCAGTAGTTTTTGAAACTTCCTGAAATGTACTTTTTGAGGCTGCAATTAAAAGCCCATCTCACTTTCTGTGAGGTGCCTGTTGCCATGGTATCTGGGCATTCTGAGGAGGCACTTACTGGGGATGACACTTCACAGACGTGGATGAGCCATGTTATGATATAAATGACAGTTTATACAAAGATTATTTTTAGACTTCTTTGGAAATAACTACATATAGCGACTCATTCTGGCTTTATGGACCTGTATAGCCACTTGTCCATTTCTTCCCACTGATGACAGAATTCACACTGATATATCTCTTTTAAAAATATTTTTTCTATGGGAAGCAACTCATTAGTACTAAATGGTGTCCCAAACACTACACAAATGGCCCACAAACACTTCTTTGATATTATTTTTTAACTCTTGCCATCCTTATTGACAAAATAAAATACCAAAAAGGTCTAAGGTCAATGAGCTGATGATACATCACTTTTAATGATCAAACAGGGGAGGCTGATATATTTCAAAAATAAAATTATATAAAATGTCCACATGTTTATTATTGCCAAAGGTAAGTTCTAGAAAAATCTACATACCATTATCTTGTCTGTATGGGTTTAAAATAAAAAGAAACAAAAATATCTGTAAATATATTTCTAAATATTTGTATAAGCACAAAGATAATTATGGAAGTAAATGAATCAAGCTGTTCACACTAATTAGCTCAAGGGATGATATTAGACTTCGAAAAAATTTATAAAGCTTATCTTGGGGATTGGGACTGTAGCTCAATGGTAGCATATTTGCTTAGCATGCACAAGGCCCTGGGCTAGAATTCACCAGCACAACAAACACACACAAGTATAAATTAATACACAAGCATAAATTAACATGATGCTTGCCAGAGCAAATGAAAAAGTGAGGAGAAAATTAACTGGAAAGTCAGTCTCTAATTATAAGAACCCTAAGTGGTTCTTGAGAGCCCAGAATGTTCTAATAACTGATTCTAGTCAAATCATTTGTGTATGACAATCTTTCATCTCTTAAGATACCTGACACTGTCTCATACTCAGTAGCCAAGAAATCAATACCACAAGGAAACCACAAGGCAGAAAATAACTTTGTTTCCTAAATAATTATTTAATGATCTCTTTATATGCTAATGAACCTTAAGAGGAAATATCAGTAACAAAACTAGACCAAAGGAAATATAGACAGCACCTCCATATCACACAGTTAAAATGACTGGGGGGAGAGTAAGGAGGGAGCAATAATAAAGAAATATATATTTGTATATATATAACACCTATTTATTTAGACATAGAAGTAAATCAAAAGAAATTGCAAAACGAGGCCAACTAAGGACTCGCACCCTGGAGGAAACTGTTCAGAAGACATTTCTTGAACATTTATCCATTTTATGTTTATTAATGTTTAAGTTCAGTGAATTTCTCTAACTCTTCTCTGAGGTTAACTTTTTTGCCCTAATTTTATGGTAGAAACCCAAGGCTGTGAGATACAAAGCCACTTGCAAAAATGTCACAGATTCAAACATTTTTTTCCTCCTGTTCGTGTATTGACCAACAAATGCTAGTGACTGGAATAGAGAAATCTTGGTACATCTCCCTCACACAATGAAATTTCACTTTTTCCAAAAACCCGGCCCTTATTTGAAACCTCTCCCCTGTATGCCCATCCAGAGTTGCATGGTTATGAAGCAGTAGTGTGAGTACCATGCAGTCACTCCACATCATCAACAACCACTCCCTAGTCATGCTCTACCCACACAGGCTCTTGGTTTGTTTATTTTAATGAATGGAGAGGTGGGGAAGAGAAGTACAATCGCAAAAACCACATGAAGCTTGTTGAAAGCATATATTTCATTCTAGCTAATAAACAAAAAATGAATATTCAATTCTGTAACTGAGCAGTCAACATCAGCATTGTACATTTTATGGATCAGTAGGAAATTAAACTATACAGACTTATTTCCTCCCATGTCACGGGAAATATCTTCTCTTAGAAAGCCA